TCCACTGCATACCTGATTTTAGACCCAGTGATATCATCACTGGCTCTCTGTGTTCCTTTTATCCTTTTATGACTGGCAGCAGTGGCCAGCAGGATAGCTTCCCCCAACCCTAAGTCCTGCTGTGGCCTGACAACACACAGCAATTTTTTGTGGACTGAGTGGTGTCAGCCCTTCCCCAGTGCCTTTTGCTAAACTACTCAACCACTCCCACTTTCACATCTCTACAACATTTAGGGGGTTATTCACTAAAGAGTCGAAGGATCCAGCCGTAGCTTCGGCTGATCCTTCGGCTCTCTTCGGCCGCCTCTGCCCTTCGGTTCAGTCTACCTGAAGACCTGCTGTACGGGCTATTCACAATAGCTAAGAGCCATGTGGGGAGATGTGTATGGCCCTTACAGATCTCCCCGAACCACTCTTAGCAAACTGGGACTCCAATGATGCCACTGGTTACCAGGAGCTGGGCGGGATGCCGGCCACAGGGTCCCAGGTTGCTAAGAGCTGGGCATGGATATGTGTATGGGAGAGGAGTGGAACTTTTGCTGATCCACGGAACAACACCCCTCCTTCAAGTGGTGCCCAGGACATGTGTCATACCCTGGATACGCCACTGTAGGTGCGCTATAAAAGACAAATAGGAGAAGATGGGCTTTAATATGCTCCAGCTAATGGGGTGATTGATGAACAGAAGGTAAGTTAACCCAGTGGGGTGAGGGCTTGTTTATAAGTGAACCAGTTGGACCTGAATGGGCAAAGTACAATTTCCCTTTTAAGTGCTAAATCTTAAGTGCAATGTCCTCTAACAACCACTCGTCACTCATCTTGTACTGGCCTGCCTTCGGCAAATTGAATTCTTGGCTCTGCAGGTAGGATTTAAGACTGCTTTTGGGAAACTTTGATGACGTGGCAAAAAATGGTGTATAACATGACAAGGTGTATAATTCAGAGACAGCACAAGGCATGACTCCAGGCCTCGATACCTACACCATAGAACCATGCATCTTCAGCTTTCTCTCTATGATATCTATAATCTGTACATACAGTATCATTTTCTGCTTCCTCCTGCTGCAAAGCTGCCTCCACGATGAGTCTGATTTTCCAGACCCGAGGCAGTTGTATTTCAGCAGACAAGAATAAATATGTGTGGCCGTATACATAAATTATTACAATACCTGGTAATTTTATCTGCAAATGACGCTCTGTAATCAGAGAACGTTAATTAATAACGAGCTGAGAGGGGGTGTATGATGGTGACATCACAGGAAATTTGTGTAAAAATTAAAATGTGTGTTGAGGGGGCCGAATTCCAAACCCACCGACATCTGAGCCATGAATCTTCAGCTTTATATATGCCAACCTGCCCATAAAATTATGCTTTTGGTACTGCTTCAGAACATTATATATATA